AGAAAACTTGCCTGCTTGCTTTTCTAAGTCAAAGTTACTAGGAACTGTGCTATCGAATGGTGCATGACTCGGGCTCCAGTATATAGAAATCGCCGAGTTACAAACCCACGAAAACTTCATGCACTTTGCCCAAAATGTAAAGATCGCCTACTTCGTCGAAACTCCACCTCGAGTGGTTCTACAACACGCTGACCAAACCGTTCACATCGCTTAATGGATTTTCCTGTGTTGGATTTGACAGTTAGATAGATCCGAGCTATAACCGCGAAGCTGATTCAACTAAGCAGCTGAAGCACACTCAACATCATATGCAGTATAGTGGGATCTGTTGGGCAAAGTCAATATGATACTTGCATTTAGACTGTCATAACCAGTCACGGTGGAATTTTGGCGAAGTGCGATCTTCACATTTTGGGCAAAATGCATAAGGACGTGTTTTCGTGGGTTTGTAACTCGGGGATTTCTATATACTGGAGCCCGAGTCATGTACCATTCGATACACAGTTCCTAGTAACTTGACTTAGAAAAGCAAGCAGACAAGTTTTCTGACAGATACGCGAGAAGTGCGGGTTTACGAGCTTTTGTGACTCCGTTACAGTTACCTCATCATATCTCTACAAAAAGACCCTAGACTGGACAGAGAACACCATCTTCATAAAAGCGTGTTCTAAAACCTCCATGAGCGGAGTTTCTTTCTAAACCAAGGTCATCGAATTTCGACCAAAACCCACTGGCGAGCTTCAGAGCATGAAACGAAAAAAAAATCAAATAACCCGAAGTTCTCTGAAAACTTGCTCCTAGGGGTTATTCGACTTGCTGATTACAAAACTCATATCTGCTTAGCAAGATAGCTTCATATTCTAGGGTACGACGAGTAGAATTTGGGACAACAAGATTTTCTTACAATTCACCAGCCCTTTTATCTCCATTGGAAAGACGCCTGTAACTACTTTTTAGCGCTCCATAATCTACAGAATAGGTACTATCGAGCGGTCCTTGCTGGAGTCTACTAGGGGTAATGCGCGCTGCTTTACGCTTTCGCGAGAAGAGGTCCACAGAAAGATTTGAGAATACTGAAATCGGAATATCAGGGACATGCTGTACATCAAAAGATTTGCCTCGATGAGCTGAGCACAAAGCTTTCCTCGGATTCGGAATATATCCATTCCGAAGGAAGTTATGGCGAGTAGAATTTAGAAACGCGTGATTTTTTCCAAAACCCACCCATGCTTCTATCACTTTTGGAAGACAGTCTGCAGCTACTTCTGAACGCACGATAACCTACAAGAACAGTACTATCGAATAGTACTCACTGAAATCTTGTATGTTACACAGACGCTGCGTTACATCCTTGCGTAAGGACCTCCACAGAAAAAAATTCGGGAAAACTGGAAGCGAAATATCGAGAGTATGCTGCACATCAATAGATTTGCCTCGATGATCTGAACACAGTGCTGCTTTCGGATTTGGAATATATTTATTCCGAAGGACGTTATGGCGTTGTGTATTCTGCGTGATTCCCATGATTCCGCGGATCCTGGAATGTCGGGAACTTCCCGGATTATCGTGGACTCTGGCGAAATCCCGGAATTCCGCAAAATTCACGGAAGTTTTGCACATTTTGTGAGCGGTATTGTAATCTTGAGCAGATTTTGAAACAAATTCGGCAGAGTGACTCCCTACCATACTCCCACAGTATCTTATATATAAAGCTGAATGTCTGTTTGTATGTCTGTCTGTCTGTATGTCTGTCTGTCTGTCTGTCTGTGTGTACGTATGTTCCGAATAGAAAATTCCATTTCTGAACCGATCGGGACCAAACTTAGCACACATACACTTCGGGCCCCGGCGGGTGTCATAGGCTACTTTTCGTCATCGATGGATATCGATTTTATCGATTTTTTGCAAAATTTGAGCTACGGGGCTGGGAGTTGGCACAGGGGGGTAATCGAGCATGCTGATAATCCCGGAGGGGGTGATCAGCATGCTCGATTACACCCCTCTGCCAAATTCCAGCCCCCTAGCTCAAATTTTGCAAAAAATCGATAAAATCGACATCGATCGATAACGAAAAGTGGACTGTGACACCCGCCGGGGCCCGAAGTGTATGTGTGCCAAGTTTGGTCCGGATCTGTTAAGAAATGGAATTTTCTATTCGGAACATACGGCGGAGCCGGGTAAGCCAGCTAGTAGTTTCTAAGTGTCATCAGCTACCTACAAATCAATGACAATACTGTTATCAGCACACTGAACAATTCGACCAACAAAAATCTGCAAAATTGAGCGAAAACTTAGTGTCTAACGTATACCTATCATATCCTGCTAGATTGACTCCTATACAATAGATGATGCGTCTCGCCGAGCTGAATCGAACGGTGTTCTCGGATTTAGAATTCGTCCATTCTGAAGCGAGATATAGCGATGCAACGCGGATTCCGAAGGACTCTAGCGATGTGCGGGGTAATCCGCTGCTCTCCGGTGGACTCTAGTAGAGTGTGGCGCACCGCCGACTTTTTTGACGAATTATGAGCGGTATTGTAGCTGCTCGAATTTGCCGATTCTAATTCTAGTCCACTACAGGCACTATCAATTTGAAGAAGATCGGCGCTGGTGATTCTAAGGCTTTTCTTATTCTCTGCTTTCCGCGTACCCTTACTTCAAGGCTGCGCATTTCTGCTAAGTATTCGCCCATTCTGAAAAATACTACACATACCTGTGGCTGCTTTTTCCACTAGCTGACGCACTTGTTGCTCCAATCCGGCAATCTGCGCTTGAAGGTTCTCGATGCGCTTGCTTTCCTCGTCTATGAGGATCATGGCTTCCATTTCTTCATCAATGGATTCCGCCTTATTCTGAAACAGAAACGCTTCAGCCTTTACAGCTGTTTTTCCGTTATCAATCGAACGTGCAGGGCTTTTTGACAGCTTCCTGCTTTACTTCCTCATGAAGCTTCTTGCTTCTAGCAAGGTTATCCACGGTGATGTACAGGTACTCTCTATCAAGGTTTTTGTACCCGAGTGCGTTTAATGGCGTTCCACAGACAGCTGCGGATCCACCTGCACTTCACCCACGGTGATTTTTAGGTAACACCTTGACAAAAGGTTCTTGTACCTGTTTGTGGGTGCCGACTTCCACAGATGACCTGTGCATCGACCTGCACAAAAACTGGCACGATAGTTCACACCACAAGCGAAGCAAAATTTCTCCGGACTAAAAACTTTGCAAAAGAATGTTGCCGTGTTCAAGTTGATTCCGCCTCCAAGTACAGAAGGTGGATCCGTGCAGTTCTGGTGCAATTATTCCGGTTCGGCCCCCAAGTAGAGACTTCTGTCTTTCTGTTGGGTGGAGTGGGCCACATGCGTCGAACACAATAGTATTCAGTAGAGTGTACAGGAGACAGCGATTGAAATGCTGCTGGTGAGGTTCAAAAGAAAAAAAGTCAAACTAACTAATGAAATGAAACAATCAAACATGTTGCACAACACGATATGATATCCAGTTGGTAAACATGATAACACCAAATACCTTCTTCCTTACAGTTTGTCTTTCTATAAACTCAATGGAAACGTTGTAAAATTGTGTTGAGGATATAATATGGCACTACTAAACATGTTTGTAGCAAAAACGAATGAAATATCAGTATATCGAAGTCTTCGATGAGCTACTGCTCGCGAGCCAGAGATTATCGAAAAACTTATAATTTCCAGATTCCCTTTCTTCTGTGGAAAACATGTAGTAGTGCCGTAGTTTATCCTCAGCACAATTTTACAGCGTTTTCATTGAATTTACAAAAGAAAAATGATTTTAAAACTGAAAGTCCCCTGGGGTTCACCTGAACTAGTAAAAATCTAATCTTGTATGGCTAACCTGGCGTCCATTATGCGCAAGTATCAATGTATGAGAATCTTCATAAGCTAAATAGAAAAGGAAGAAGCATACGGGCCAAAGTGTGCTGACATTCGATGTAATATTCTTGCTGTCTTGAAAGAAAAAGGTAGTTTGTTGATGGTTCTAACATAATCAATATCGAATACATCGCTGGTCGCTGCACGATTGTTGTCGCTTGTAGCATAACCATGTCAATTTTTGAAGGCAAATTTGAAAAGTAATACATTTTGTAAGTGAAAGTAGAATTGTGCATATATTTCCATTACATGATTATATCAACCTAACCTTACTTTAGAAAAATATCACAGAGTAATTTTACAAACGCTGCAAAAATTCTCCTCCATAGAAACTTTTCCTTGATCATGACAGTATGATGATGACACCTCTATTTCGGGACCTGAAATTCCATCATTGGGAAGTTGTTTCATCGAGAATTGGTAAGCAGTTAAATGAGTGAGAAAAGTGTTTCTAGACGATGCTCACATTGCAATAAGTTCAAAACTTTAAGAAAATAGCTGCGTTATAGAGGACAACTAAATCGGACAGAGCTGAAACAACTTGATAGAATGGACATTCCTAAGCAGGTAGTAAAGAGTAGTCTTAGCAACAATGGCATCAATCTGGGCCAAGCATAAAGATTATTTCTCATTCAAATCAAGAACTCTTTGATAAAGTTATAAAGAAAGTCCGTAATAAGATTTTTTGCCTCCTCAATCCTCAGTCTTAAAAATGATTTTTGCCTTAAGGCGTCTGATCTTTTGACAAATTAATCTTCAACCTCGCCCCTTATTGTCACAATTTTCACGCCATTCTAAATTTGTGCACTCAATTTTTTGTGGAAAGCGCTGGAACCAGAAATTTCCGCACCCACCTTGAAAGTTTATATTTTTCTAAAAGATCCTGAACCTGTCTAGCGCTTGTTATAGACTCTGCAATATGTGCAAACTTTAGCTCTAGTTACAATCCAGACGGCTAATTGGGTCACATTTTCTATGAAGTCCTGAATCATTTGTGATTTGGAAAGATATATCAGAAAAGCTTGAACAATCTGAAAAAAAGTCAACCACCGCTACTCAAGCAGATGAACTCTGACAGCTTTATTTACTATTCAGGATCTTCTACGTCAACTTCGAGCCAGTTGCGGGCAGCAATTCACAACTATTGAGGAAATCACAAAAGGAAAATTGGAATTGGTGACAATTCATTGAGTGACCGCAAATACTGTCCGCAGTATATGCATCTTCAAAGTATTTGCTTTTGCTTTTGTTTTATGCCTTGAATTGTTAGAACAACAATTCAGACATTTTTCTAAATACTGGTGACAACCAAAGAAAGCTTTCCTGTATATATTAGGTTGGCACGAAAGTTCTTGCGTAATTCAAACAAAATTCAATAACTTTTCAAAGACTAAACCTAAATTCACAATCTTGTATGCTAAAAATATTAGAAGCCTTACGCTTCATGAAGGATGTTTAAACATGAGATTCCGTGAGCTGGACATCAAGAACGAAGCTCTCGAATATGGGGCTTCAAATTTTGCGATTTTGAGTTTGGTGCCAGAAAATCGCAGAGTGCCGCTAGCTAGCCGAAAAAGATCTGTAGAATTTACTTACACAGCAAAAGTCGATACGTTATTTTAGCAAGCTTTGATCTCGCATGAAAATGCGAAAACAAAAAATTCGTGAAATATGTCATTTTGCGGAAAAAACCCCTCATGTCCGCAGTTTTCCGGCGAAAACACTTTTTTACAATCAAGAAAACGTCGCAAGGCTCTAAATAGGCACTATGTCTAATTTCTGGTTGTAAACTGTGTTTCTGTGAAAAAATGAGAGCGATAAGGGGATTTGTCCTGTGAAATGAGAAATTTCACAAATTTTTTGTTTTCGCATTTCCATGCGAGATCAAAGCTTGCTAAAATAACGTATGGTCTTTTGCTGTGTGAGTAAATTCTACAAATTTTTTTCAGCTAGCTAGCGACCCTCTGCGATTTTCTGCCATCAAACTCAAAATCGCAAAATTTGAAGCCCCATATTTGAGAGCTTCGTTCTCGATGGCTAGCTCATGGAATGTTGTGCTTAAACTTCCATCATAAAGCGTAAGGCTTCTAATATTTTTAGCATACAAGATTGTGAATTTAGGTTTAGTCTTTGAAATTTTATCAGATTTTGTTTGAATTACGCAAGAACTTTCGTGCCAACCTAATATTACTCAAGGTCTTAGTAAGTGCGTTGTTCGATTTATGTTCGTTATAGAAAAATATTCGAGTTTCACCTCCTTACAAATAAGCTGCGGCAGAAGACATAAATACTTTTTGCAACCATTCTTTGGGCCTGACTTGTTGATTCTTATCCAGGAGAATGGAAGCGTATTATATTACATACATATGTTATGTTCCAGTGCGTAGCCTCTGCTTCGCAGAGGTTCGCACTGGTCCTCTTCCATATGCCAAGTATAAGTATGGAATTGAAACTCACTCGCTATTCCGACTATCAGAATGAAATGTGATTAACTAATCATTCCAAAAGCTTTTTCTATATGAGATTGGTGATTTTGCCAAGAGTGAAATTTTCGCAGAAGAACAAATGCAAATTTGAACAGATTTTTGAACTTTTTATGGGTTTACTGTCTCCACAAGGGTGATAATCACCGTGAGCTATATCTTCGTGCAAAAATTATCCAAATGCTTAAAACCTTGACAATCAAAAAGTTACGCAGGCAATCCTTTTTGGCGTCTTTTGATCACTTTTTCAGACTTAAGTCTATGACTTGTACATTTACATGCCAAACACATCCACTACTTTGCAAAAATTGGTAATACGGACCCAATTTTGCGGTCCAGAAGCCAAGTGGATCTGTTCGACGCGCAATTTCTGAGGGATCACTCAACGAATCTGCTCGTGCTTTTGCATGTTGGACTTGGACATGTATGGCGATAGCATGCGCTGTGCAAAATTTGGGCTAAGGAAGTTTGAGGAACACGCCCTGCGAATTTCGTAACAGACAAACTCACAGACACAAAATCACGTAAACACCCTTAGCCCGTTATTATAAGTAATCTACATATTAGGCGGTCCGAAAGTTTGTGCCGTTTTTCAGGCCCATGCTCAAAACACTTAGAATGAAGATAGACAAACGCTTCAAAATGTATTCAATGCAAAATTTCTTCCTCTTTCCTGCTGCTATGTATCCATTGTGACTACTTCAACGAGCGCTAAGATAGTTGCCGAAAACTAGTACCCTTCATTTCTACCATGTCTAAATTTCGCTAATTTTCAGAATTTTCATTTCAAACTTTTGAAGGGGCTCTATTAACCATCTGATAAAACAAACCTTTTTCAAATTGATGCAATTTTTTTGCATTCTTTGAGCTTCCTACTAAAATTTTGCTGAATTATTTTACTAGAGCATTGAATTTTGAAAAAGTCGCGTGACACACAATTGCACCAAACACCACGAAATAGGTGGTCATTAGAGCACCTTCAGAAGTCTAAAATGAAAATTCTGAAAATTAGCGAAACTTAGGAATGGTAAAAATGAATGGTTCTATTAGGTTGTCCGGAGAATAATGCCGGTTTTGAATTTCAACAGCAATAAGTCATACACTTTTCACTTCTGAATAGGTTGCAAAGTACCGTTCGATAGAGCAAAGCAAGCTCTACAAGATGGCAGTCTTGATTTAGCAACAGCTCTAATCCACCTCGAGTTTCGAACCAAAAACAAAAAAGATTCAACTGCCCGAAAAATTGAAAAAAATCGTAACTCAGCTCATAGAAATCCTACAAAAATTCTTATTTGCTCACGTAAACACTATCCACATAAAACATCTATATACGCCTTTGCCGCATTTATTTCTCTGTTAGAAATCAAGAAAACGGAAATTTTCATGCATTTGCCAAAGTGATGCTGTGCAGTTCCCACATAGGTAGTTGTATACTATAAACCTGTAAAAGTACAAACGTAAATTCTCAGCTCTCTACAAGCTTCAGTTCTCGAGAAATTTGAATTTTAGCTTGGACCACCTAGCTAGGGAAAGCTATATTCGGTATTTCTCGAGAACTAAAGCTTGTAGAGAGCTAAAAATTTAAGTCTGTACCTCTACGGGCTTGTGGTGTACAACTACCTATGCGGGGATGGCTCAGCATCACTTTGGCAGTTGCACGAAAACTTCCGTTTTCTTGGTTTCTAACAAAGAAAAAAATGCGGCAAAGGCGTATATAGATGTTTTATGTGGATGGTGTTGACGTGAACAAGTGAGAATTTTTGTAGGATTTTTATGAACTGAGTTACGATTTTTCTCAATTTTTGGGTAGTTGAATCTTTTTAGTTTTTGGCTCGAAACTCGTGGTGGATCAGAGCTGTTGCAAAAGCAAGATAGCCATCTTGTAGAGCTTGCTTTGCTCTATCGAATGGTACTTTGCAACCTATTCAGAAATGAGAAGTCTATGACTTATTGCCGTTGAAATTTAAAACGGGCATTAATTTTCGGACAACCTAATAGTTTTCGACAATTATGTCAGCACTCGTTGTAGTAGTCACAAGGGAAACATAGCTGCTGGAAAGAGGAAGAAATTCTGCATCGGATAATTCTTCGAAGGCTTGTCTACTTCATTTTGAACGATTTTAAATCAGGTCTAAAAATTGGCACGAACCTTTCGGACCCACCTAATATACAGTGACCACCAAAACGTTGCGGACAAGCCGCCTCCCTTTTCGCTCATTTTCGGTTGAAAAGCAAAAATAAAAAAATGATTGGATTGCTTGAGGTGATAGCTCTTCAAAAGCTATCACCCCTTGGCTCTCATAATCCAATATGATTTTCGAGTACCAAGCGTGCTGTTCTCTATTTGCTCTTAGTTGGCTTTGAAGAGCAGATAATCGTCTGATTGATACCGAGTAATTATCGGCAAGGTCAATGATATTGGCCTTTAGAGGAAATGGAGCAGTCACCAGACCGTTTGCGGATGATATAGATTTTTTATACTGTTCGAAGTATTTTTGAAGTGTTTTGTCTTTCTGTAACTCAGAGGCAGGTATTTCCAAACCTTCCAGCTCAAACATTTTTTCGAGTATGGCCACTTCAGTAGGTTGTTCGATAGAAGTGTAGTTGTGGCTGATGGACATGTTCATATTTGAGCTGTCAGTAGTGCCATGTCCATACAAAATTGGACCAAAAACTGTTTTTGCAAACACGCAAACCTGATGGTGTCCGAAGAGCGGACGTATCTGCTACGATGAGGTCGTAATAGCGGTCTAATCGCACCAGAATGCGTGGAATATTACGTTCTCCATGAACTTTTGGATTTGCTACGCACAACTCGTTGATGTGAAGAAACTCTTTGTCTTCTTTAATTAGCCTGATAGCAGGAAAACCGCTCGGTTTTGTTTGAACTACTTTGTCAATGTCTGCGCTAAAGGCGGTAGTGATATTCAATTTCACTGAGTGACTTTAAAATTTCTCAGTGTGTCCGCCAATGCCAGACATGGCACACGTCGCAGTAGTTATCGTTGGTAGCCCGAGTTTTGTGGCTAAAATTTCTTCAATTACTGTTTTTTGTGCGCCAGTATCAAAGAAGAAGAGTATTTTCTCTTATTGTGGACTAACACGATTGAAAACATTTCTGGTACTTGTCTCAAAATTTCAAAGGTTCGACCTTCTTTAAATCTTGGCATGGTATTCCGATATTGATTTTTGCTGTAGCTAAGCCAAGGTGGTATGATCTTTTTATTGGTGGCTGAGTTTCGGCGTCCTCGCCTTCGTCGGAGCCTGGAAATCAAAGACCATTTTGTGGCATACCTCCTCAGACGCCGCATCTGACCACAGCGATCAATTCAATAGATAAAATGAGATCAAAAGCAGTATGTGAGGAAAGACAAAGCAACGCTCAGCGTACTACAGCGGTTTTTGAAGCCAAGACCACCCGTATGAGAGGAAGTGATTGGCTACAGCGAACATTGCGCATATTCAAGGCCCGAGAGCCCGCCAACGCAACTTTACTGAGTTAGATCAAAATTACATAAGGTCTGGTAGGATACGAGGTCTTGGTCACAGTTATGCACTCTTCTTTCCTGTTTAATTTTACAATGACCACAATGATAACAACTTGATTTTTTACATTGACGCAGGATTAGTGGCTCTAGTGCCAGCCGCCATGCACAGCGAGTAATGGTGGATTTTATCACAATGATTACAATTTGATTTTCCTACACTGGTTGCTGGTGTGGTCCTCTAGGAAACACTTCCAGCACAAGTTGTTCTGCTGCGCTATCTGTCGACGCCTTTTGGGTCTGCAACTGTTCTGCAGAATGCCGAGTTGTGGTTAGAACGACCACAAAATGCGCAGTTTGCAGTTTGCGCGAAACTTTGTTGCCGACTT